CCCCAAAACCCCAAAACCCCAAAACCCCAAAACCCCTAAGGTACACCAAGATATTGAATTCATATAAAAAAATTGACAGTTGTTGTTTCATTGATATATCAACAGCTAAATAGAGAGCTTTTGAGATAAAAATTACTTATCTTTCACAGCTTTTAGTGACCCTTCACAGAGGTAGAGATAATTTATTTAAATGTTTTGTATCGATGAGACATTTTCTCTGCAGATTACAAATTTATATGAGCAGTTATAGAATTCATTCTACATGCATTTTAGAAGTCTCCAGATGATTGGTAGAGACTCAATGCAAGCGATTTTAAGCTGTAGCACTACTCTAAGCTTGTAATAGCCCATTATTTTGTTAAATCTATCACTGTTATTTCGATTTTGCATGCTCACGTAGGCATAAAATTTTTCTAATTTCAATCAAATTTTGAAAAAATGTTGCTGTAAACTGTGAAGATAATAAGAAAAGATTATCCATTTTTGGGAATGTTCCTGAAGAGCTCTTGTTGCTTTGGATGTACCAGTCTTCTCAAGAATGTTTAGTTTTTAGAATTTAGTACTCTATCTAATAAAAGGTTCATTAGTCATGAGGTAAGAAATAAAAATGGAGATCACTAGCTCATTTAGACATGAACACTTAAAGAAAATTAATGTCTTTCTGAGTTACTCAGTGCTGAGCTTTCTTGGTTTTAAAATATGAAGGAGCTGAATGCCAGATAACTTGCATACTCGAGATGGCTAACTTTGTAAAATACCCATATGAACCTTCCAATGAGTTAAAAGGGAAGATAATTGAATGTTGTTGTTCAAGACATTATTAATAAATTCTTTCCAAAACGATTCCAATTAGCCAATGTTACTCATATTTTTTGTGGCTGTTAAAACAATGGAAAATAAAGTCTGAAGAGAATGAGTGATTTGAAGCCAAATAACTGATTTCCTTCTCAGCTTATATACTCAGAAAGGGAAAGCTTGACAAATTGTTTTCTTCCATTTCATATTTATGAAAATTTAGGGATTATTCAAGTCAAGTCTGATAGAGTGTTATTGATAATAACATAGTGGTGGGTGAGCAGAAATAAACTCTGTTAATTCTCCAATCTTTTATCTCAGTTGATGGCCTAGTTCACCCGATTCCTAAACATTCTTAGCCTTCAATGTCTTGACTGTTTGTTTCGGATCCTTTTGTGAAGGATGAATATTCATGAATGCAATCATCTGATCTCCAAAAGGACACTTGAGCTATCTAAGTTTTAGATGAACTCCTTGTTTACATTAAGAACTTACTTATTGCACTAGAGCCTGTGAACTACGGAATGAGTGTAATTTGTTTCATCTAGCAAAGAAGACTTGAGTTCACCTAAGAAAGTCTTCCATTTAGCAATATTAAGATAAAGAAGTTTGATAAGACTGTTACTTTTATTTAAATGAAGTATTTTAAGAAATTTCTTCCAGGAGCCACCCATAAATCTGAGAGATGTAGGCTTTCTTAACCTCCCGTCATCGATGTCTGGAAACAACGATTGAGCACTTTCCATTGAACTTTGATTTTGGTGGATAAAAATAGAAATTTTAATATGAGAAATCTCTTGTTTAAATCAAAGGGAGAAAGAAAACTAAAGATGAATTCTTTGTCCTTAAAAGCTGCAAAATGAGTCATAACATGAGAAGTAATTCATGTAGACCAGAGTTAATGAAATATGCTAAAGTCTCTTATGTAAGATAGTGAACTATATTTTTATACCAACAGTTTATAATAATTCAGGTTCTAATGGGCATAGTTTGCAAATCTTGCTAAGCTTCAAGAAACATTTTTCAAGTATAATTAGCTCTCAATTCGGTAAGGATACCAGCTTCAAGCAAGGCAGAGCTTTAGTCTTACAAGAGAAATAATTACATTTGCTACAAAATTCGAATTATTTCATTGTTTGTTTTATGTGGGAGAGATTATTAAAAATATTAAGCCCTCCTATTGGAATAGAAATTCTTTATATAAGTTAGGAGTCAAATAGGTTTGAAAATTATTCACTCTACCAACTCTTATAAGGACGAAATATCAAAATTTCGTAGCATAAAATTATCTATAAAAGCATTTGGGTAATTTAGCATACTTACATTTAAAATTACCCTTATCTTTAAAGTCTTTACAAACACAAAAAGTATCCCATATCTATCATAGGAACACTATGCCAGTTGTAGAAAGTCCTGGGTTATGGCCAGCAGGAACAATATTTCTCTACCAATGCTTTCATACTGGCATAATATTTGAAAACTAAATTTCTCACCTTAGAAACAAGAACTAGTGAATGTCTCTTCGGCTCTTTATTTAGCAGAGATCATACCAAGAGCTTTTACTGTAAATTTTCCTCAGTAATGTTTCCACATATTATTAAAAATTCTAAACTTAAGATTTTAGAGATATAAATTTGGAAGGATTTTACTAAAAATTATGGTTAATTCAGAAGAATTCTAACAATTATTGGTTGTTCTCAGCCATCTTCTGTAACATTTTTAATCCTATTTGGAAATTCTTGTCTAATTCTGAGATGTCTGCTTCATAGACAAAGTGGAGCACCAGTCACCTAAAGAACTTGTCCTGCATGCAAAATCTGAGTTTGGCCCTGTTGAAGCTGTACAATGTGTCTTTGAACTTGTTGGAGCTGGTAGAACCGAAGAACAAGATCTTGTCAAGAGTCTCCAAGAAGGATTCTGAGGGTTCGAGGCAGAACTCAGCTTTAATATACCTCGTCAAGAATTCTTTTCTTTTAGATTCGCAATGATTCTTAAAAGTAGTAAAGAGAGTATGCGCCCTTAGACGCTCCAAGTGAAACTTCTTGACTTTCCTCATTACAGACTTCAGCACAACATCAGTTCTCCTTTTTAGGCCATTATTAGATGGCTTTCTACCTTTCTTCTTTGCTGTGCTACTCTGATATCCTTCAGAGCGGTTGAGAGATTTCTCTAGTGCAACAATCTTGGGAACTTCATTTTGGGCAACTGATTCTTCATGTGCGAATATCTCTGGCGTAATTATTGGGCTGAACCCATTGAACTCATGTTGAACAGGTCCAAACAAGTCATTGGGTGCTCTACTTCCACAGAACTGAACCCAGGTGAACTTTGAACTGTTGTCTTCATGTGACAAAGACTGGTTAATTTGGTTAAGTTCGAACATGTTATTGTATTAAAGAATGGATGATATTATTAATTATTATGATCAACACAGCCTATCTTATATGGGGTTTTGGGGTTTTGGGGTTTTGGGG